AGGCATGAGGGGATAGTAAAGACACTTTTGCAACGAGAGGGCGTCAATCTCAACCAGGTGATCAACGAATATGGCGAAACACCACTCTCGTGGGCAGCAAAGCGGGGGTATGAGTGGGTGGTAAAGATTCTTTTAGGACGGAAGAATGTCCTTACCACTATTCCCGATAACGGGGGCCAAACGCCATTGTCATTGGCTCTCTCAAACCGGCATGATGGCATTGTAAAGATCTTACAGGAACATGACACAATCAATTCCAACCCCCCAGATCTCACTGTCCAGATATCCCTCCCGCCGCCCACTGAGCATGTGGACGAGTGCGTGGCGGCGAAAGTTGAAGCTCCCGATCCCGACATCCCTGACCCCGCTGGCCCCCTTCCGCCCGCATCCGCACACTCTGCCGAGCCGGAAGCGGTATCGGGCGTCAATGATACTCTTCCCAACTCCGCAGCTAGCGATCCGAACTCAACCGAACCGTCCATGCTCCCTCAACTCCCGAAGCTCCCATGTCCTCCTATTCAAACAGGCCCCCCTCCCAGCAACACCCGATCAACCCTCCCAATTCAGTCCGAGCACTATTTGCTCATCGCCTTTCTCGTTTGTCTCTTGGCTCTCCTCATTTACCTCCTTCCTTCCTTCCATCTATCCATATTCTAAATTCAACAAATTATTACAGGGTGCGATCATTCCTGTCAAGACCTCTATGAGTTTAGTTGTTCATAACTTTCATAAGTACGGGTAGTTTCGGGTATCAATTTGTCATGTATTTTTCTTGTTTCCTCCCTTCATCGCCATTTTCTTGCCCGGAGTTCTGGTTAGACTTTGCGCTGTAATTTCTTCTTATTCCTCCTTGCCATTATTCCTTAATATTTATTCAGTATTTTTTGGATAGAGCCATAGAGAGCGTCCCCTTATACCCAATCGTGTATACATAGACAGCGACCTTAATTATTCCCGTCCTACTCTACATTCGTAATCCCCTAACTCATCTCCTCCCAGTAATATGCATCAACGCCGCCAGATCACCGGCATCAATTACCTGCACAAACAGTCGACTGCACAATACTCCGGCACCTCTGAGGGCTCCGGGCTATACACCAAGATGGGCCCCTATCTGTGCATAAAACCCTCACCCCAGAATTCTGACTATGTTTGCTTATCCCAGCGGATAGGCGAAAGGTCAAATGGTATGATACCGAGTGCCCTCGCAGGTAAGACGTCGAAAATTGCCCCGACACCCATGGGGGTTATGGTACAATCGCACCCTGCTAGCCCGGATCCCGCTGAACCAGATACAGTATCTGACAAACCACTTCCCCGAATCCTTCCATTCCTAGCACCACGCTTCCGTGGCACCTTGTTTGTGCCTCGAATGCAGGTAAGGGGAACCGTACGGCGCTGTTGGCTCTTCGATGTCTTGATTTTCAGCCTAGATGATGGGATCCTGGTATGGGCGTGGCAACCCCTATTGCTTTTCGTTAGTATCATACTTCTCTATTGTAATTAGGAAAGAGGTCTGTTCTTGTTGAATAGCCTTTCAGCTAGCGGCCTAGGGCTGCTCTTTCTTGCCGATCTGGCGAGGTGAACTGTTGGGGCGCTGGGAGTTCGACTGCTTAACGCTCCTGCCGGTAGAGTCTTGGAGTCTCAGAATACTTGCTGCAGTATATCTTGGCAGTTTATCTGCTCGTATGTTTCATGCTATCTTGAACACGAGAAGAGTGAGACTAATGAGTGACATAGGAAGCTTGTCTGCTAGCGCTCTCACCCCTCCCACCCTCCATACCTATGTATGTAGCGGGATAGCTAGTAGGCACAATATCCGTTAAGCATGGAAATCATAGCATATATCAAGTGGCATAATTTATGGTATTGGGGGGGGAATTGGGTGGGAAAAAAGCGAGTAGGTAAGAATTTACAACTTGGGAGAAATAAAGTATGATAGAGTGAAACTGTAAGAAACAAATTTGTCCTTCTCATAACACTAGAGCTATCCCCCCCCGCTGGCCAAACTCTACGGTACCTTGAAAACAGGTGCTCATAGGTCCCTGTCAGGCCACAGCTACGCTGCGAGGATGTAATGGCTTGTAACATTAGAGTCTTTACGTTGGGTGGTACCGGGGAGACGAGGTCCCATTCCACCGAGGTCGATTGGGTTTTCTCTTTTCCGCTCTTGAAAGGCCTGGGGTATTTCGGAATCCTTTCAGCTCCACTAACGACCTATTCCAGCAGGGAGCCCTACATGCCTATCGTATGCTGTTTCTTTCGTACCAAAAAGTACAAGTACAAACACAAAATCGCGGTGTTTTTCCCTGTACCTTGACGGTGCGGCCTACCCGCTACCGGTGCCAGCTGTGCGGAATCTGTTGATGGGAAGTAAGACGGCTAGCGAGGCGACAGACGGTAACACCAAGAGTATTTGCTTGGAACTCCGGAACTGTAGGGAAAAGAGGAGAGGTATAGTAAACAACTTCGTTCTCGATCAATTCGTTGCTCGACTCTCCAATTAAAATGTGCTAAGTAAAACATCATCAAAATGTTCTGATTCTTCCACCAATCACCACACCTATCTCTGTGCTTCTCCACATGTCCACATTCCTCCGTGCATTTCTGTGGTCACAAAAGAAAGACATAACAGCAAATCTTCTCCTAAAATCCCCATATCTCCAAATCAATATACCATGCTCCACAACATTCCTCCTGACTCCCGTGACTTGTAAACTGAACTATGGCCTTCTGACACTCACCTACAGCGACACCTTAACAAAATCGAAGCTTGTTAGGGCTCTCTCGGTCAGTAATCTGTTACGGGATAGATGTCTTGCAGACTTCAGGATCTCCATAGTAATAAGACTTCGTTATCGCTTTCACCTTCCCTGCTCTGGCCGCACCGCGCCCTAAATTCCTTAGTCTGTATAAGCTATTCGCCTACATTGTCGATACGGCGCTCTTGAATTCCCCGATGCTATATCTTGAGTTCCAGGGATGTTAGCCAGACTAGGGGTTGGACCAGTCATCGGCAATAGGGTACAAGTATAGGTAGTTGCATAGTGTTAGGAGAGTTCGTATTATCATTAAAGTAGTTGAGACATCTTTTGCTCTTTACTCCTACACAATTCTAGAGGGATTTATTGGGTAGGGTTGGTTAGTGATGTTCCGGGAGCTGAGGGAAAGCGGGGCTCTTCTGGTGCTAAAGCCCTGCCGTAGATATATATACAGCTATTGAATCTCGAGAGGTGCGAAGGGAACACAGCAGGATGGGGTCACCCATTGAGGTTCGTATCAATCGACTCTCAGAACCCATCGTCATTCTATGCACTAATGCAGCATTACATCCTTTGAGTCCCGGTTTATGTTCCACACTAGCTAGAATAGCCTGTAGGCTCAACGAAGTGCGAGTGCGATTAATCCGGTATCATTGTGGTACAACAGAGGCATTCGGCTCATAGGTAGATAATTCCCTGTGCGGGTTTCCCGAGCTGTCGGAGGTTTGGTGTGTGTAACTCTGCTTTTTTGCATCCAGCCTCGTACTCACGCATCTTTGCCAAGAACGGAAGACCGTACCGGTTTTCGGTGAGGACCGCAGCAACACACGAGGGAGGTATTCCCGGTCAAGATGTGTAAAAACGGGTGCGGTATGCTAGCTTACCCACTCAAAAAACGCCCTTTCGGTGTTGGAGCTGAGTTGGGGGATTCAGCCTTGGGGTTGGAAATCCTCGGTGCAAGTTTTTTGAGTCGGAAGACTTACACTTTCTCAACCCGGGGCTGAATGCGTCTAATACCTCTGCCGTAAACTTTCTTGTAATTTCCGATCGGCATCAGATCACTAGCCGATTACACCTCTTCGACCTATGACAGATTAAGTTTGACATACTAGCAGAGTTGCGAGTACAGTACCAGTTAGCGAGATCCAGCATGTCCAAAGGGCTCAGGCAATGCCGTGTCAGGAAAGCTGCTAGGCATTTTCAGGAGCGGGGTGTTTTTGAATCGACTCGTAGAGATTGGAGGCCTGTTGGAGATAACGAATCAGAAATTTTACCGTATGTGAAGCTGTGTTTGGTGCTTTTGGCCCCAAACTTATGGGACCTAGAAAACCTATATTTGGGAGAGTTTGCAGGTGATCCTCCTAGATACTTGCTCCACCGATTCAATGTAGTCATTCCAAATGATCACAACCCCGCTCGTGTCTCTGGAAATGCAGCCTAGTATGCCATTAACACCTGAGACACTAATCAGCTCTACCTGGGTGGTTAGCATGGTTGTTTGGAGTCTCTTAAGAATTGCCAACCCTGTATAGGGATTACACGGCCGCCGAACATAACACCCTCCCAAGTAGAGCATCCAGGATTGATATCCTGGGCACCCATCAGCAGGTCCCCCAGTTGGTGGATAGTGTGAGTTACGCTCGTAAAGCAATAAGAGCAGGCAATAGTTTATATCCTACATATGGATTACAGGCATTGGGTTCCTTGATCGGAAAAATACGGTATGCGCTTTAGTACCTCGGGCCGGTTTTTAAATACGGGTAGACAAATAACAACTCAACTGATAACGTGGCAGTGGAAAAAACACCTTTTATTCCCTCCAGGGCTGAATGCTACTATTTACTCCTGCGAGTGGGAACACGACAATGTACGTAAAAGAAATCAGGTAATTGCGCAACCTAACTCCTCCGGAAGCTGGTATATAAAGGCATCAGGTTCCCTCAGTGTACCCTCCCCCAGTTTGAGAGATAGTTCAAGCGCTCAACAGGACTCAACAGCATCCAACAACACTCAATCCCAACAATGAAGTTCCAACTACTTGCAGCGTTTGCTCTCTTCTTTGGTATACAACATACCCCACTATATCTTTCCCCCCTCCCCCCCTCTCCCTTCCAGACAATCTCTAACAAAAACCCTACCAGCTCTTTCCCTCTCTGCCCCCGTCGCCCAATCCGAGCAATACCCCGATTCATACCCCGTCTGCTCCGCTGGCGAAGGAGCCCTAGTTGCAGACTGCCGCGAAGCGCTTAAACAGATCCCCACCGACTGGCCACGCCCATGCACTCTGCAAATAAGCACATTCTTCATTGCTGCCACTGTGGGGACATGCCGCATAACAACCTGGGATCAGTCCGCGGCGCACTGCTTGGAGGGGCTTAAGATTCTTGCGGCGGCGGAGGAGATTATTTCGAAATGCGGGAAGGACTATGGGGCTAGGGCCGCTGGGAAGGCAGCTTTCCCAGGGACTTATGGTAAAACTGGGGTTGAAATTGTTCCGGTTTCGTACGCGCCATAGATAGGGAATTCTCTTGTTTGGAATTGGGTGGGAAAGGGGTGGGAATTTTTGGGGGTTTTTTTGGATGGAAATGGGATGATTTTGGAGCTATAATGAAATCAATTTATGAGCCACCTATGATAAACTACCATATTCCCCAATTTCATTCGCACTTTCGAGCAATAGGCGATGCAAGCGATGATCTAGCTGATCCAAAACCCACCGAATTGAGGAGCATTACGGTAGACCACTCTTGTTGTTCATGATAGAGAAACCTATTTCCTTGCTCTGCAATTCCACTTCACAAAGTTTATATTTAGCAAAAAGTTCGTATTTGCACTCACTGGGGTCACTAGACAAAAGCCTTGGTGGAACGAAAATTCTCTTTCTGGAGACAACAGCGCTGTGCAGTAAGTTAAGCAAGGGGGGGCCTACTGCTCGATTGGTGGTCAGCGCGGAGAGGGCTCCGTCAAGAACCAATGAGAACCCCTGCCGGTATTTCACCAAGACTTTTTTGTCTACCGTACTTGTACAAGTGCCAGGGGAGATGTTTTCGTACAAGACAGGGATTATTCTGCGGGTTAACCTAAATTAACTGTGCGAAAACATTATCCCTGGCACTTGTATGATAGTAACTTTAACCGTATCAACACCGATGCCCCCGGGGGAAATTGAAAATCAGTCTATCATAGCGCTCACTCAGTCGCGGTCCGCCAGAGGCCGGAGTGCTTAGACAACTCGTATTCAAGCGTGCAACGGACAGGCACACCCGATCCGCTATGGGGGGTGTTTCCACCGCATCCGAATTCGGAATTGAATGTTGCCATGTGTTACAAATGGACTAGCCTACCTGTACTCGATGAAAAAAAAGATCTGGGGAAGGGGGGGGGCACGGTAGTACCGTACTCCAGCACCCGAACTTTTCGGGGAAAGTGAAATATCATGGATTTATATAGTAACCCAGAGTAAGTCACCTACTTGTACTGTACGAGTATACATACTCGAGTGCGAGTACCGGCAGCTTATACGAGACCGCCCTGAGCTGATCAGCCGCACCGCTGACATCATTCACCGTACCGGTACGTTGCCGTGGACAAGTTCGAGTTCACATTCCTGGCTCCCCACAGAACCTCCCGACCGGTAATGGCAAGGAACAACATGCACAGCTAACAATACCAACCAACAAGATCCGCGAACTCTGCCGAGAAATTCACCGTTGTGCCGCAGAAACTGGAAGAATTGGACCTCACACTGGGACGTTGGGGCTGCATCTCCAACTCGTATCCGGCACGGAGTATCTGGAAATGAGACACCGTTCTTTTCTGCTGGTAGACCGTTTATGTAACACGGGCCGCATTTTCAGATATTTTTTGTCAGGTGCAGCTAGTAATGTCGGGTGTATTTTTTTTCTTTTTATTTGTCCAGGTAGAGGGATGCATGGCAGCTTTCTCTCTTTCTTTCTTTTTTTTTTTTTCCTTCGCAGTGTTTTCCTCCCTTAATCCGAGGGAGCGAACGCCAGACGGCTTGGCGTGATGTCAAATTATTATTCAATTTTTAGTTGGGTGGGCAAAAGTCCTCGTGGTCGGACAAATTACACCAGAGTTCGTTATATTCAAAGGGTTATGACCGGGAGCCTACACCGACTCAATGAAGAAAACTTTCCAAGAACTAATCAAGTAGCTACATATGCATGTAAAGGTTATCCTCCGGCGATTTACGGGATCTTCTCACCATTTTCGGTCATGCCACAACTCGCTAGGGGTGGGGAATTTTTGTGGGGTGTTCCCGAGGCAATTTTCTGAACAAATCGATGATAAGAACAATCCTTAGGAGATGGCGGAGCTTCACAGGCTTGCAGGACCCTCATTCGGTAGCGGGCGGGTCTCAAACTAATCACGAAATACTGCAAACATAAGGTAACCTTACATCAGGAATTCATGAGAGGGGGACCTGGTTTTCGGTAAACTATCAACAGTTGAAGCGTGAGGTTTCTGCTTATTTCTCACCAAGAATTTTGGACAACTGCATGATCTTAGGTTTAAAGAAGTCAGAGGTAGTAAAGACTCTTGAAATCCACCACCCCCGCCAGGGCTATAGTCTCCAGATTTAGAGACAAAACAGTTGGGAAGGTTTAGCGTTTCCCTTGACACGGTATTTTTTCGCCCAATAGAAGTGCTGGATCTCATTTACTCGTTTTTAGCTATTCTATTAACTTGCCAAACTAAATCTATCATAGATTGGAACACCCTCATATGGGAGAGTGGAATCAAAAGCCGTAAGTACGGGAATCCCTTTCTAGGGCTCACTATCGATATGACGGGAGGGGCCCGGTCTGTGAGGAGAGGGATAGAAAGTTAAAGAATAATAATGGAAGGGAAAACCCGAATGGGCAGATTTTGTATAACTTAGACCCTGTTTGGCGCGCAACTATATAAAAAAAATGCCATATTTCTGAAAACACCATATTTTTTAACCACACAACTATACTAACCCAATAGTAGAATTTCCAGCCATTGTCAGTAGGAGGGAATCACCCTGCTGATTTTAATAAAAATAAAAGACAATTTCGCTACAGCTAATTGAGAGGTTGGAAAACTAGTGATATTGGAAAATATAGAGGTCCTAGAGATGTTGTATTTTGCAACATCACTATTTTTCAAACCACTCAACTAGAAGTACTCAAATTGTCTTTTATTTCTGCCTGAATGAGTAGCATGATTCCCTCTGACTATGGCCCAAAATTCTACTATTCAGGCAGTATATTTGTGTGGTTAAAAAACATGGTGTTTTCAGAAATATGGCATTTTTTTATATGGTTGCACGCCAAACAGGGCCTTAATTACCAGTATTGGAAAGGACGTTGCATGAGGAAGAGAAAAATGCATCTTATATCAGGCCGCACATGCCAAGCTGCAAAACTAGTCCCCCCCTAACCTAGCGCCACCCTGATACAATGACCAAACATAGAGCAATTAACGAGCGACATACAAGTCGGTATGATTTGCTTCATATCACACTCAACAATAGAAGGGCTGAAAAACTGTGAAAAGCACTGATTTTGGCTGATGGTCTGATACCGGTAGTTGACGTTAGGAACTTTATAGCAGAATGGATCAAAGACTGTTCCCATTTAAGCCACGGGAAAGGCGTGAGGCCAGTATCTTGCCACTAGCCACAGTATCCATACTGTAGGATGAGGTCTCACATGCCGGAGGTTCCAACTCCTGGCTTGTCGTACATGTTGTGCCGTACAAATGGTGTTCAGCGGAAACCACGAACACACTATCGTGGGGTTCAGGTTAAGAGAGATAAGGCGTTCCCACTCAATGATGGATGCTCTCCTGATGTTGGGTTGTGTGCATAGAGCTGCCGACCAGACAGCATATGGTTGTTCCTTTCCCCTGGAGTGCTGAATGCAATGGACTTGAGATATGGGGGCTGGCTCTGGAAAGGGCCTGCTCTATTTGTAGCTGGTTCTGTTAGCCCAATAACACCCACCTCCAGGGAAGCTTTCTTCTGTATTCTCCACTAAGTCGGAGATATATATTGGCGCTTTTTTCGGGCCCTTTCGTTCCCACTTTCTTCTGCCCATTCCGCTAGGCTTCCAGCTAAGCTTCCTTGTTGACAGGAAGGTGGGGATAGAGCAGAAGGAATCAGGGGAATGCAGCCGATATGATTAGATCTTTTAGATTGGAGGGTTTCGTTTTTAGTGTTTCAGTATCATATCATACAAATAATAAGGACGAGTAACTACCAGTAGCACTCGATAGAATATCTTAAGTGATAGAACTAATATTTGAATTCGCTAAGTCAATAGATGTGTGAAGTTCGGGAGCGCGATACCATTGACCTATCATAGGTATTGTGGAGGCAAAATTTGTGGATGTTTTTCTCTGTTTATTTCAAAATGCCCTGGACGATGCATCCTGTCCCTGTTTGTTTTGTTGAGGGCTTTGCATGGTATCTAGGGTTCTTCTTGTGACTGGTCTTTTTGAGCAAAAGGATGTGAAAGTGTTTGAAAGGCCTGTACTAACCTTGTTCTGTAAGTTCTTTGTGAAATGAGAAAGTGCGAGTTGAGTGTGTCAAACAACGAACAACGAAATACAAACTGTGAAGGCTTTTCCTACGATTTGTGTGAATCAAGAAGACTATAGGATTTGGAATTGGAGAGATTGTAAGTCGAGAACAGCTACAGGATCGTGCTCTTATTCTGTTTCTCCATCAATTCAGGTATCTGTTCTCCTTCTTTTTTTTTTTTCAGGTGTTCCAAGTGAAGCTTCTTCTTGGGCTCTTTTTGCTATCTGAATCAGGGTAGTATTTGTCCTTTTCAATATCAATTTCAAGCTTTCACTAAGTACCCAAAACGAAGGGGATTTCCTCCGTAGACATAGACATAATGACATTCCAAACTAGCTTAAAATAGACTATATACCCTTCCATTCCAAAACGAAATGTTAAATAACTACTGAATGGAGTATGGCCTAGGAGCAGTGCTCACTAGACTCCCGGATTATTTCTAAAACCGCAGGTTAAACGACCCCTCTTCTTCCGCTATGGCGGATCTAACAATCTCTAATAATTTTTCCCTGAAGCACAAAGCCAGCGCTAACTAAAATTTAAGGTGCAAACAGAGCGCTCTCCAAAGTCGCTAGGTTACCTTACCGCGAAAGGTTCCGCCCAAGAGCTTGAAAGTTATTACTAGCCCAAAATAACCCCTTTCCACAACTAAGACACTCTAGGACTTTGGTAGCATGTCTAGCTAAGGCATTCTCCAAGTTCACTGGGCACCCCCATGATCTGAGCATATTGAACAGAAATCTTGAATCCCGGTCCCCAAGCCCACCAATTAACCCACAGCCTGACACTTTCAAACCCCCCAAATATCCCGAATTATTTAACTCCTACCTCCGGCGCCACTCTTCGGCTTCCATCCTGACCAACACTTACTTTGCAAACAAGAATAACTACTGATTTTAGCCACAACAAATCACTCGATCTCTAATCACAGAAGAAAAAAAATGTCCAACATGTCAACCCACACCACTCAGGGAACCGCATCCACCGCCCCGGCCCCGGGGATGGCCCTCAACACCCGCGTTCCCCCGAGTCAACCCGCTCACATGCTCCCTCTGGGCCTAACCAATGAG